CAGCCCTTGGGGGAGCCCATCTAAGGGCTTCCCTAACCTATCGAATTTGTAGCAGTGATGGGCAGTGTATAGAGGGGCAAGGATTTATTTATGCAAGGTAAGCTTACGTCCCATACTTATTGGGAATTCTTCCATCATGGGGAATAATGCAGTCCCCTGCTAGCATGGGCTGTGGACACCCTGAGTCAGCCAGTAGTACAATCCTGGACTTGATAAATTTTTCAGAAGGTGCTTTAGGCTGCTAGAAACCGCATATAACCTAGTTTGGGTCGTCACCAGCCCCGTTGTCCCCAACAATGGCAGCAGAGATGGGAAGTACAGGGAGAGGGGTTCTTCCTCACAAACTGGATTCCATCAGGATTCAGAGCATGGGTCTGTTTGTAATATTCAGCTTATTAGACCTATGTACAGTTGACACGTTAGCTGATTAAATTACTATGATAACCCAGCCGGAGTGGCTCAGTGTCATCCTGTGCACTGAAAGGTTGCCGGTTAGATTCCTGGTCAGGGCACACACCTGGGTTGTGGGTTCAATTCCCAGTTAGGGTATGGGCCATGCATACTCTTGTATAGTTGGTTTTTTTTCTACAACACTTTTTAAATGTTACAATTTTTAGCTTGTGGCCTGTATAAAAACAAGCCATGTGCCAGATTTGTCCTGCAAACAAGAGTTTGCTAACCTATTACCTAGCAAGACCTCAGTCTGGATGAACTGAGCTCATCAGTTGTGCCAATATACTAAGTGTTCTTGGAGGAGATCAACAACTGTAGATCAGTGTCACCCTAAAAACACAATCAGCCTCAATTCATATGTTATATCTTAGCAGGCAAGTTTCTTTAGTATTGCTCATTGGTATAATGAATGGCTATTTCCCACCTTTTCCTCCTCAAATCTCCCACTTCTCTCTACCACACAATGTTTCATATTGGCTGGGCAGTTCTGGTCACCACCAAGCTCAGGCAAACACAAACCCTGCGTGTTTACCAAAAACAATACCTCTGGTACATTATTAGAGACACTGCCTGCCCAGTTGGTCTTGACAGGCTTTCTCATGTGTCTTCAGTCAGTTGGTAGGTCTGCTGATCTAGGATGGCCTAGGCTAGACTTACTGGGCTCTGGTCACTCCTGTTCCAGCATGTTAGCCTGAACCTGTTTAGGTGGTCACACAGGTCCAGGAGAGCGCAGAGTATGCAAAGTCTGAAGCCTGCGCTCAGAATTGACACCATCATTTCTTCATTCTGTTGCCTCTAGCAAAGTCATAGGCCAGG